CGATTGTAAACGTTCCAGAAAATTGATCAAATTGAAAATAGTTCGTTTGACTGGACGTAAAAATTCTCTAATTAGTCTGGAAACGGGGGACCTAATTCTTGCATTCTGTGAAAACGGGTAAGATTGGCTATAATGTAATTATCTTAATCTTCACTATCGTTACTTTTTGCCCAGCGAAGCGGATCCTTGCAGCTAGATTCTAGATTACTAAGAAAAACAGTCTTTTATATATATAGTATATAAAAACTATATTACATACAAATAAAAACCCAGCGAAGCGGGTCTTAGCAGCTAGTTAAAAATATAATTCTTAAGAATTCTAAAACTGAACATTTGTTCAGCTACCAAATTGGAACATTCTTTGGCAACCAGAAAGAGTTATATCAAATTGAAAGCAATTTTTGACGGAATTATTTCGAGAATAAATTTTAAAATGTAGTTCTATTATTATTATTACTATAGGCATTAATTCTTTTAATAAAATTTCATCTCTTGTAAAACATCCTTTGCCTTATAAAATGGCAAGCGAATATTTTACAAGATACTAAAGAGAAGTCAAATACAATCCGAAATGCATATTGAACAGAACGAAGCGTGGAAAATCTATTAGGTACATAAAATAAAAATATTTTACAAGAGATGACATTTTATTGAAAACAGTTTGCAGGAATAATATATATCGAATCAGTAACGACTCGTAATTCTACCGATTCAAATATATTAAAGAGCAAATGTGAAAAATTAATTTTTATTCTTTTAAGGTGCTTAATCTGTTCTATATTTATATCCAGCTGGTCATTACAAGATGGATTAAGTGAATCATTTTTCGGAGTTTATGGGAAATTATGATTATTTTTTTACGAGAGTGTGAAATCCGATAGAGTTAATGTTATAAAATAATTATAAACAGTAATAATGGTAATAAAGCAAATAAGTCCCAATGTATCTGAGAATTGTTTTCAGTCTCCTTTAATTCATTTTATATCTTGAATGTTAATTTTACGTTTAAAGTATGATATTCTCTATTCAAAATAGAAAAAAACTTGCTTCGGTTGATTAAATGTTAAATCGATGCTAGAACCAAATAATTGGTTTATTTGATTACGGCAAAGTGAAACATGGGTGATCTGCTGAGGAGAGATGCCTCCCGGAGGATTTTTATGGAAAAATGGCCCTTATTTAGGTGTTGCAAACGCTAAGAAACCCCAGAAAACTCTACGTGGCGGTGTCCCTAGTTTTTAAACTATTTGCTTAAGAAAGTTATTCGATACAGATCCGTTGGTTCAAATCAATTTCTAGAATTATTTTCCAAACTCAATTTTGACATAAATGCAATAAACTTGAACAAATGGAACTCCTTAAAATTGCAATATTTTACAGTAGGCTAAATATTCCTAGAAGAATGTTCGACTGGTTATTTCTTAAAAATAACAGTAAAAATAAATATTTTTTTATGATTGTTTTATAACTAATGAAAAAAATTTACAATTATTTTGATGTTATTGTGGTTATTTAGTTTACTAGTATCCTTTATTTAGCATTTATCACGGAATCACACTAAGTTTTAAATAGTTTTTAATTACTAGTCGTCATTTTTTAAAATTTTACTAGTTTTAATTACATGTAAAACATTTTTAAAGCATTAATTTTAATGTTATATCAACTCGATAAAAATAATATTTACACAGAATTGTCGCAATTATTTTCATTTTACAAGTTTTTAGCATTTTATCTAAATCAACACAAACATCTTTCACTGTAATTCAATTACCAAAAAACAAAAGAAAATATACAATATCCCCATATAGACGGCCGCTTGTTAAGACGCCAGCCTAACCGCCATAAGGGAGCTGGGATCGAATCCGGGCGAGCAACTCCCCAGGAATTTTTCAACAGGGTCTGTCCCAGATATGTAGGATCCCGTTGCTCACCACCCAGCTCTCTCATTGTGGGCCTAGTAGCCCACACAATGGGTATATAAAAACAGGTTTTTTTTAAACTCTTTCCGCTTCTTTCTTATAACTGTACCATCAATCCAATCCGATTTATTTTCATACTTGATTTCTTTTGTTTAAAATGATTTCATAAAGAACGAAAAATCTATAAACTAACAGATATCATTATTAAACAAATTATAAAATCGTATGTTTCTTTTTTATATTTTAGTTTTGAATGTTTACAGCGATTTTTTCATAAAGTTAATAATTTGTTTATATTATACTATTATATTATGATATTGTTTCTCTCAATGGCAAGTTTTCTAAGGTGATAACTCTACATGTATTATGTACAGTACAGTATGTAACTATTTCCTTATTTCAAATTCTTGTAAATAGTTTTTCTCTTCTCTTAAATAAAAGTGCATTTTTATTCATGTTTTTTTTCTATTAATAAGATAAATTATGAATATAAATTGTTGAAAAAGAGATTTTTATGTCCTATACATGCAATGGCTTATATGGACTATAGTTCTAAGAATATGTTATTATCATTTGTCGTATAAACAGATAATAATGCTAAATT